AATAAACTAAATTACAACAGAATAACAACAGCGGTGGAATAAATTACCAGGGGCATGCTATAACAAGTATGGAATGGATTTGATCATCGATTACATCATGGGCGTCCCCGGACATTTATTCACGGGGATCAAATTTAATTTAAAAGATAAATGAAAATTTTTTTATACATTTTATTTTCAGTACATTATTATGTCTCGGCATTATTGTGATTAGGTATAATTATTACATTATATTTATACGTTATTCTTTTTCATCAAATATAAGATGAGACACGATAAGATATCTTATCTTCAAGAGATATCTTAAGATATCTTCAATATATAATATATATGTTATATTAAAGTTATCTATGTTTACTAAATTGACGCGTTACAGATAATGCTTTGGAAAACAAATTAAAAATTCTAATGAGGGGCAAGTGCTCCGTCTTGCCACACCCCTTTGGGGATGAATTAGACGTTGTTCGTGTGATCAAAAGAGTTCACATCTAACATTTAAAGGTAGAATTATTTAAATTATTAACATTTTTTTTTATTCGTTGTATTTTTCGTTATTCTATACCTAGAGTTTAAAAATATATAAGCATTTGGAATCAAATGAATCATTTTGACTAATTCAAAATTATTGTGATTAGTATTATAGTGGAATAGTTGTTTTTATTCGAGATTGAACATAGAAATAAAGTATGGACTACAATGAATATTATATATATATATATAGTTTATACTTACAAATAAACAAATAAAATGCGTAGCTTGGAGTATAAAAATATATATACTGTACGACTGATTTCGAATTTAAAATACATCATCAAGTAAATCACGAAGTCAAAAAATCATATATCATGACTGAATATAAAAAATAAATAAATAAATACATTAAGAAAAATTGGTTGTCTTACATAGAGAAAATATTTTTAATGGGAGAGATTATTATGTTTATTATTAGACAAAGATATGTTAGGGAGTATGAATTTATTGGTAATTATTTATTAAAATCTAAAATGTATTGATATGCGATATTATTTTTTAAATTGATGTATACAAATAAAATGTTATTAAAATTTTTTTTTTTATTTCATTGAGTATAATCGTAACCGTGTTAATCGTAACTCTCCTAAAATTGAATTAATGTAAATGTTATTTGGGGTATTTAATATTTCTAATGCTGTATTGATTTAAAAATATATATTATGATTATTTTCTAAACATATTTAGTGAAATTTTAATAATGTTTTTTTAATTTTATTTCAGAAGTATGTTCTTCATATTTTATTTTAAAATTTACATATGTTTTACCTAAGTAAAATGTATTACAATTACATTTAAGTTTAAATATAATAGCGTTTTCAAAAGAAGAAATGTATATGAAATTTTTAATTCTATTGTTGATATTGATTAAATTACTATTAGTCTTAAAAGTGATTTTTACATTTGTATGATTGTTTAAAACTTCGACGAATTTGTTAGATATATTATTTTGATATTTCATACTATCATATAATAGTATTTCATACTTAACAATACTATTTGATGAGTTGTGTTTTATTTTTTCTTTAAAAGTTAATGGATTTAATATAATTGCAATTATTTTTATTGGCTATATTATAGATAACATTGAGCTCGTGTTGATAATTATATTTATTTAATGGAACACATTCAAGCCTATAGTTTGTTGAATTAAGAAATGATTCTTTTTGAGAATAAGAGTGATTAAAATAATGTAGTATCACAGCATCAGTTTGTGTAGGTTTCCTGTACATTCTAAATTCAAATGTTTTATTTATTATGATAACTGTATGATCTAAGAAATGTAATTAATTATATATTTGTACTTCAAGTATAGATTAAATATTTTTACTTATATTGTTTATGTAACAAACTAATTTTTACATCTGTCTATTTGAACCTCTAAATAAAATGAAAGTGTCATCATTATAGCTATAATATGATTACTTTCGATTATAAGGGCTATATATTTTTCTGTTAATAATATTATTGGTTTCATAATTCTGAATGTTAATTTCATATAAAAGAACACTAAAAGGTCCACCCATAACTAATCCTTCTTTTTGTGAATATTGAAATTATCGCTAAGTATAAGTTTTTTTTTTTTAATTTTTACTGTTTCGTTTTAGAAATAGATGTATGTAAGTTTTTACGTTAAAATAAATACTTTTGTACCCAGGTTCGATATAAATTTTATATATTTTTTTTTATTTTAATTCAAAACTGGTCATATGATACTCATATCTTAATATTCCAAGCTACGCATTTTATTTATTTATCTCTATATATAATTTATTTATATTTTTAGTTAATAATATATAATTTATTATTTTAAACATTTTTATTTTACTATTTTATATTTTATTATGACACGGTCGAAAAATAAAATATAAATCAGGATCGCGAGATGACTCTATCCTCACATGATCCATTGTAGTATTAATTTAAATAACAATAAAAGTCATGTGATATAAAAATGTGTTAATCAAATAGAACATTTTTGTTTTGCATTGTGTTTTCGAGGTGAATAAAAGGAAATTGGTACACTTTTGGCATTCGCATGTGTTTTCAATATTCTTGCCAAGATACGGTTACGGACACAAAAATGTACTTTTACTTTACAATGCGTTAGGGACCTATAAACACAATGGGCTATTAATCTATGAAATCTATAGATGACCGAAGTAACAATAACTACTGAATCAAATGTACAGCATCAATCAGTATTTACTAATTTACGGTACGACCTCGACGCGTTTATTTGATTTGACACATTTTGTAGACAAACATTTTATAATACGCATGTGTTCAATTCTTATTTGCGGTAAAAAAAAAAAAAAATAAATAAATAAATGAATGAAAACAGTTTTGTTCGAACTACGATGTCATGATTAACCGTAACGAGTGTACAAGGGATGAATATTTATTTTTTTGAAAGTTGAAATCACGTTTTTATACTTTTCAGAATAGCGGTCGAACACGACTTCGTCAAGATCAGCGTTTATTCGTGCTGACGTTAAAAGTTATGTACTGTTTACCATCTACCACGTTTGATTTCTATTTGTTCGTGCGCAAAAACGAAAATCATTAAGCAGCATGCGCAGCGAACGTTTAAAAAAAAAAAAAAAACAAAAACAATTTAACATCTGTTCCTCGAAAACTGCGACTATCCGACGACGAATAAATGCCCAAAAGGTTTCCGGTACGCGTCGAATTGGTACACGTCGAACGTAACGAAAATAATTAACGTTCCGAATTCGTAGTGCGTTCGATTCGACGCGTGGATGCTTTCTCTTTTCAACTCGGGTTCATTGCGTTCCAATGGATTCCCGTGTAAAGCGCGTGACGCAGCCGCGCGCGTTCGCATCGTTCAAGCTGACCAATTGTAAGCCACGACGGCGGCTAGGTGACTATGACACGACATGTGCGTTTGACATGTGCAGCGTACACGTTTTTTTATGACCGTTGCACAACGAAACGGTGCTCGTGTGTTTATATTATTTTATGACGACCGCGCGCACCCGCCGCGTAACAATGACACGTCGATACGGTTGTACAAATACAATATAATATCCTACGACATTGCGACTCGAAACCGTATCGCGCCGACCGCGCACCGGCCGTACTGCGTTGTACGCGTCGTGAACCGCTCGCGGTGGCCTAGACGTATAATCCGCTCGCGCGTACACGTGCGAATTTCACGTTTATCGAGTTCTGTTTACCGTTCACATGTTGGCTACCGCGAGTTAGTGTCGGGGTGGAGGGGGAGGAGGATGATGAACAAACACATAATATTTATAGTCGTACGACTGCGATCGCGGTTTTCCGTAAACGCGTACCTATCAGAATACGGGCGTGTGCGTTTCGTAGGTAAACAATTTTTATCCGACGAAATCCTCGAATCCCGGTGTGCTGCGTTCCGTCATCTACTCGATATGGGACGATCGCGGTTTGTCGAACAACACGATAACGAACGCGGCGTAGGTATGGGCGTTTGTGTCAATGTTTATCTTTTATTCCGATGTCCTCGATGAAAATATTCCGATTTTAAATCATCGAAGACTTTTATCCGGACCAAAACGTAAGGATTCGTAATAACATAACAATTATGTGTCCCACGAGCAGTGCAGTCACACATAAAAGTGCGTTGCCGCAACACGCTCGGCAACCAAATCCACGTGGGAATGACGTCACACAATGCGACTCCCACCATCATCTTCCTACTAGTAATGTATTTTTCAGCTGCACATTCCCAACACGTTCGCTTGCTTAAAAATACGTGCGGTGTACAATAATATTATTTTTAATATCGTATAATGTGACTATAAGGGATCCTTATAAGGACGCGCACGTTTGCGTTTCCGTGATGGGAAAGGGAGAAGGGATGATATTCTTCGCCATTGAGAAAAAGTAAAAAAGTAGTAATCTAATATCCGAAGAAGACATTAATACGACAATAGCGTTTACTAATTCGACGAGACCCCGAATGTCAGATACACCTCGGCCGATTCAATGTTCGTTCTATTCGACACACGCGCATTTTTGTAAACGTACAGAAGGCAGTTACGGACTGCTACGTCTTATCCCTCCAGAAAAAATAAATGTATATCTTTTAACGTAAACCAGTTTTTTGTATCAACATTATAAGAATTTAAAGCGCGTCAAATGTTCAGCATCACCCTATAATAATGTGAGTATTAAATAACTGATACGGTAATCGCTTGAACTCGTCCGATCGCTTTTCGATGCGTGTTCGATGTCGGTAAAAGAAACGTGAACAAAAATTAACGCGACCGTCCGATATCCGGTTGTCATCACATCCGTCGCGAAATCGAAAATCCGATTGATTGACACTGGTCGTTTCACGCGAACACTCTTCACCGCGGTAGGTGTGCGAAATGACGATTACAAAATCGTTCCGATTCAAACACATGACACGCGCGCGTGTTTACGTATTTAGAACGGTTGGCGGCGCATGCGATGGATCGTACCTGAAGGAACTCTCCGGGATCCCTCTGCACAGCGACACGTACATGGTTCGCGCGGTGTTGGCGCAGCTGTTGTACGAGCAGCAGCGGTATCTGCGGTAGTGGTTTGCGGTTAGCGGTAGTGGTAGTGCGGTGGCGTGGTTTCGGACAAGAACACTGTTACGCGTCGAGCCTCACGAACAGCGGTCTACTCCCTCTCTCTTCGCCGGCCGTCGATGCGCGGCGTCGAACCGCCGAGCGCCGAGTGCGACGGATTTTTTCTTTTTTTTTTTTTATCTTTTCCCGGTCCGGCGACTACCGCGCGGCCACGGTGGCGTACGTGCGGACCAGCAGGCGGTGGCGCGCAGGATGCGCCGCGGCTGATGCGGCCGTCGGTCTACAGTCGGCCTGGCGACGGCCGAACGTCGGACAACTACGCGGTCGGTGCGATTGGTGCGACCGGCGCACGTGCATGATC